CCCGGTCCACCTGGTTTATTAGGACCTGGTCCACCTGTTGTATTAGGACCCGGTCCACCTGGTGTATTAGGACCCGGTCCACCTGGTGTATTAAGACCCGGTCCACCTGGTGTATTAGGAACTGGTCCACCTGGTATATTAGGACACAGTCCACCTGGTGTATTAGGACCCAGTCCACCTGGTATATTAAGACCCAGTCCACCTGGTGTATTAGGACCCGGTCCACCTGCTGTATTAGGACCCAGTCCACCTGGTATCTTAGGACCCGGTCCACCTGGTATATTAGGACCCGGTCCACCTGGTATATTAGGATCTGGTCCACCTGGTATATTAGGAAACAGTCCACCTAGTATCTTAGGGACCCGGTCCACCTGGTATATTAGGACCCGGTCCACCTGGTATATTAGGACCTGGTCCACCTGGTATATTAGGACACAGTCCACCTGGTATCTTAGGACTCGGTCCACCTGGTATATTAGGACCCGGTCCACCTGGTATATTAGGACCTGGTCCACCTGGTATATTAGGACACAGTCCACCTGGTATCTTAGGACTCGGTCCACCTGGTATATTAGGACCACGCAGACACATAGAGGAGCTGCAGGTTTCCAGAAAAGATGCAGCACAAAAAACAAAAGATGTTGAGGATTTTGGAAAACATCTTGTCAGTTGAGTCCATAAACCATTCTATTCTATACCATTTATTTATTTATTTATTAATAAAGCACAATTTAACAAAAGCATGAGGCTAACCAAAGTGATGTACATTAAAATATCAAACTGCGTCAAACTGCACAAGAGACAAAAACCTAAGAGAAACCCAAGAGCAGCTAAAAAGCATAAAAATAAAACAATAGTAGGAAATTTACAATAAAAAATTTGCTAATTTGAATAAACACTACCTGACGGCAGCATTAACTTGAGATGACATCAACAGAACAGTTTCCCGTCCAAGCTGGTGACGCACGATTTGAGTCTCAGTGGCAGGAGTGACAGGACACTTGTAGGGTGGTACAGTAGGCTTCAGGAGGGTGGCCTCAGTCTCGCTGTCATGTACCCATCAAGAGATTGTGGCGAGCCAGGTTCTGACCTCGGACACAATCGGTTAGCCTTGTTGCGATTTGGTTGCAGGCAGACATGGCAGCCATCTGCATGAAGATGATAGCTCACCTTGCGTTTGTTTCTAAGTGGGAGCAAGAATAAATCAGTCACATTTTATTTGCAGAACACTGTTCATAATCGAATCAGCACAAAGTGCTTAATGTAAAAAACTCAACAAAAGCCAACAAGAATTAAAAACACAGCTTTTGCACATCTAAATTACACGAGCAGGTCAAATGTTTTACACAGACACCCTAAAAACACTAAAGACACTGTAGAGAAAAGAAGGGGGCCCAGGAAAGAACCCTGATGCACGGCTGACCAGAAGCTTAGTTTCCACCTAATAGTTTTAAAAACATTGACGTCTTATTCCCCAACAAACCTGAAAGGGTTTAGGAAAGGTGGTGAACAGTGGCATGACATCTAAAAACATCCTGAAAAGTCCAGACACGTGTTATGTTACAGTAGATGGGATCTGACAAAACTAGACTTCTTTACGTACTACAAGTTTTCGTTGCTCTTCACGACATTCACAGAGAAAGACAACCAGGATTTTGACTGCTTAGCAGCTCCTCTCAGTGTGACCGGAGGGGAGACGTTTCTGTGAGCTGAAGGGAGGAGGTCCACTGCAGGCTTCAAGCACACCACCACATCACAGCTTTTTACAGACGCTAGGACGCATTTCTCATTACTTAAGTCATTTTTGCAAAACACTTCACACAATCCTCCTAACTGGGTTTCAGCTTGGCTAAGTAGTTAATTTCACATTCAACATGCACTCCATCCACCAAAGCACTTCACTCACGTCTCAAATAAACACGCTCTGCCAGAACACTCGCAAATGTAGACAGCAGACAAGCACACTTTTTCACCCACAACAAACACTAACAACATGCAGCATTACAGTGTTTTCTGGTGTAGAACAAGGACACGTCTCTGTTCAGAACTGTTAACGGAATGAACCAGACATGAGCCAGAAATCATCAATATTTTATGTTGTTTATTTTTATGTTTTTGCTAATTCCAAAATACAAGATTTTGTACACACACCATCCACCGATACAGATACAACTAGCGATGGGTACTGAATTCGGAACTTTTTAAGGTACCGACCGAATTTCACAGTACTGACTGAGCACCGATTCACGACATTTCAAACGGTGCCTCGTTTCGGTACCCGTCCTTCATAAGGAGAACTTGCCTAGACAGCTGCACATGCGCAAGAGCGTTATGTCGTCGGTCGCTGCGAGCCAGTTGTAAACAGAGCAGCATGGTAGAAAGAACGCACGCTAACGCTTGGGTCCACTTCACTAAATGTGATGGGTAACTGGGTGATGATGAAACCAGCGACAACGATCTAAGTGAGACATCCTCATCTTAATCTGCTCCGGTAGGTAAATAAAATGTTTAAGATAACGTTAGCTTGATTTGTTAGCTTCCGTTTCGCTAATGGTGCGTTCGCTTTCTCCTCTGAACTCCGAGTTTCCGGCTGGAAGAACATGAACGCGCTCTAAAGTTTGGCTTCACTTTACTAAATGTGACGGGTGATTGGGTGAAGATGAAATCAGCGACAACGATCAAAGTGTGAGGCATCATCGTTTTAATCTGCTCCAGCAGCTAAATAAACTGTTTAAGATAACGTTAGCTTGATATGTTAGCTTCCATTGCCACCATTGTTATCATCTAATGGTGTGTTCGCTTTCTCCTCGGAAATTCTAGCTTCCCAGTAGGAAAAGGGACGGCAAAAGGAATGAAGATACACAGTAAATTTAGTTCACAGTAAAGATGTTTGCTTCAGTTTAATTATCAGCTTATAAAACTACAAGGACGATGTTAAAATACAAACATTTGTATGTTATTTATCGTGATATTTATCAAATGTGGTTATATATTGAGAAAAGTAAATATTTAATTATAAAAGAAAATTAAAATATTAAACACTCAAAAGTATCGAAAATTGGTACCGTTAAGTACCGGTATCGATTCCTAGGTACCGGGAATTAGTACCAAATCGATTCAAATGTCAAAGGTACCCATCCCTAGATACAACAGACTGATGTGTCCAGGCATCCATACGTATTCCTCGGCCTCTCCCAGCCTCTCTTCTTCCTCCTTCAGCCACTTCTGTTTCCGGCTGGGTCCATGTTTACATCACAACACAAACACATTCAGCAGTTGTCTCCTTTTGTAATGAACACCATGTGTAGATGTCCATCTACAATGTACGAGCTGTGGCTCGTTAAACTGCATTAGTAGACTTAAAATATGTTTCAGTAAAATATTACTGTTGAATCCTGCTGTCTTATTAAGTTTTGCATGATGTTATTGTTTTGAACTCATGTTTAACTGTTTTGTATGTGAGCACAAGCAAAAGGACCTGTTGGTACAGAGCTTTGTTTTTTCTGAGTGAGAAAAGATTTCCAGAAATTTTAGAAATGTAGTCAAAGAATGCATTTGTTGCCAAAACAACGATAATCGATGCTCAGTTTAGCCCACATAGACTTCTGTTGGGCTCCAAGGGTGAAGAGTTGTGCAAAAGTGACCCAAAAATTGAGAAATGTGTCCTAACGTCTGTAAAAAACTGCAAACAGATAGTTTAGAGCAGAAAAGTCCCCAGATAATGACGGGATAGTTTTATTTTTTCGTTATTATGAGTTTTCCTTGTCCGGGGATCGGACCGCCAAGGCTCCCGCCTCGGTCTGCCACCCGATCCACACTGCACAGGACCCTTCATGTTCCTCCTGCGGGTGGTGGGTCCACAGTTGGATGGGCCCATGTATCCGGTTCGGGCTGGGCCCGGCTGGGTCCCATGGGCGAAAGCCCGGCCACCAGGCGCTCGCTCACGGGCCCCAACTCCAGGCCTGGCTCCAGGGTGGGACCCCGGTAACCCTCCGGGCCGGGTACTCCGACTCTTTGATTGTAAATCCATGAAACATCCTCTGAACCGTTCTTTGTCTCACCCTTCACCTAAGACCCATTTGTCATGGGAGACCCTACCAGGGCCCAGACAACATAGCTCCTAGGATCATTAGGGCACTCAAACTCCTCCACCACGATAAGGTGACGGTTCAAGGAGGACAGTCCAACTGCGTGTCGGGGGAGAGGTCCTACCTCGAGTGGAGGAGTTTAAGTATCTCGGGGTCTTGTTCACGAGTGAGGGTAGGAGGGATCGGGAGATCGACAGGAGGATTGGTTCGGCGTCTGCAGTGATGCGGACGCTGAGCCGATCTGTCGTGGTGAAGAGGGAGCTGAGCCAGAAAGCCAGGCTCTCGATTTACCGGTCGATCTACGTCCCAATCCTCACCTATGGTCATGAGCTTTGGGTAATGACCGAAAGAACGAGATCGCGGATACAAGCGGCCCAAATGAGTTTCCTCCGTAGGGTGGCCGGGCTCAGCCTTAGAGATAGGGTGAGGAGCTCGGACATTCGGGAGGGACTCGGAGTAGAACCGCTGCTCCTCCGGATCGAAAGGAGTCAGTTGAGGTGGTTTGGGCATCTGGTCAGGATGCCTCCTGGACGCCTCCCTGGGGAGGTGTTTCGGGCATGTCCTGCTGGCAGGAGGCCCCCGGGTCGACCCAGGACACGTTGGAGAGGTTACATCTCCAATCTGGTCCGGGAACGCCTTGGGGTCCTGCCGGAGGACTGGTGGAGGTGGCCGGGGAGAGGACGGCCTGGAGGTCCCTAGTTGGGATGCTGCCCCCGCGACCTCATGTTATGAGCTACATGCAAGTTGGACTAACCTGATTTACTTATGTTGTTCCTGACCTTTAACCTTATCTAGAAATGTGATTTGGACCAGTAACTAACTGTATAATCTAATGTCTCTCACTCCTGCCTGTTTATTTCCCTCTCCTCTTGCTCTCTCTCGTCCACACCGATTTGCTGACTCCTCCTGCAGCTGAACGACGGGCGCTTCACCATGACGCAGCTGGTTGGGATGCTCCGTGGCATCGCTGCAGGGATGAAGTACCTGTCAGACATGAACTACGTACACCGAGACCTCGCTGCCCGAAATATCCTGGTCAACAGCAACTTGGTCTGCAAGGTCTCCGATTTTGGCCTCTCGCGCTTCCTGGACGACACTTCAGCTGACCCCACTTACACAAGTTCCCTGGTCAGTGGAGTCAGTGTGTGTGTGTGTGTGTGTGTGTGTGTGTGTGTGTGTGAGCATGAGCGTGTGTGTGTGTCTGTGTGTGCGCGTGTGAGCATGTGTGTGTGTGTGTGTGTATGTGCGTGTGAGCATGAGTGTGTGTGTGTGTGTGCGTGTGAGCATGTGTGTGTGTGTGTGTGTGTGTGTGTGTGTGTGTGAGCATGAGTGTGTGTGTGTGTGTGTGTGTGTGTGTGTGTGTGTGTGTGTGTGTGTGTGAGCATAAGCGTGTGTGTGTAGGTGTGTGTGTGTGTGTGTGTGTGTGAGAGCATGTGTGTGTTTGTGTGTGTGTGTGTGTGTGTGTGTGTGAGCATGTGTGTGTGTGTGTGTGTGTGTGTGTGTGTGAGCATGAGTGTGTGTGTGTGTGTGTGTGTGTGTGAGAGCATGTGTGTGTTTGTGTGTGTGTGTGTGTGAGCATGTGTGTATTTGTGTGAACATGTGTGTGTGTGTGTGTGTGTGTGTGTGTGTGTGTGTGTGAGCATGAGTGTGTGTGTGTGTGTGTGTGTGTGTGTGTGTGTGTGTGTGTGTGTGTGTGTGTGTGTGTGTGCGTGTGAGCATGAGTGTGTGTGTGTGTGTGCCTGTGAGCATGAGCGTGTGTGTGTGTGTGTGTGTGGGGGGGGGGGGGGGTGAGTTTGTGTCAGCACGAGCATGTGTGTGTGTGCGTGAGTGTGTGTGTGTGTGAGAGAGCATGAGCATGTGTGTGCGTGTGTGTGGGGGGGGGTTGTGTGTGTGCACGTGCACGTGAGCATGAGTGTGTGTGTGTGTGTGTGTGAGAGAGAGAGAGAGAGAGCATGAGCGTGTGTGTCTGGGTGTGTGTGTTCATTTTAGCGTGTGTGAGAGGATCCTCTGGAGGTTTCTTCCTGTTAAAAGGGAGTTTTCCTCTCCACTGTCGCTACATGCTTGCTTAGTATGAGGATTGCTGTATAGTCACTGACACTAGTCAGTGACTCGATGCAACCTGCTGGGTTCCTCATTTAGGAAACTTTTTTCTGATTGGCTTAATGAACTGACCTGTACTAGAACGTTTACTGTGTGAAGGTCCTTGAGACGACGATTTGTTGCGATATAAATAAACTGAATAGAATAGAGTTGAACATGAATTTATTTAGAAAATTGTAGTTTTATGTTTTTTACCCCTATGTTTATGATGAGGAGCTAAACGTGACACCACGTAGTTGTTTTAACGAGTTTATTTTACTATCAGAACTCCATACATGGTTGTTGCTCATCAGGTTCTAGTGTATTCTGTGGTACTGATGGTCCCTTCTGTGTGTGTGTGTGTGTGTGTGTGTGTGTGTGTGTGTGTGCGCGTGCGTGCGTGTGTGTGTGTGTGTGAGCAGGGAGGCAAGATTCCCATCCGGTGGACTGCTCCAGAGGCTATTGCCTTCAGGAAGTTCACCTCCGCCAGTGATGTGTGGAGTTACGGCATCGTCATGTGGGAGGTGGTGTCCTACGGAGAGAGGCCTTATTGGGACATGAGCAACCAGGACGTGAGTTGTTCTCACACCCGTGTGAAGTTCTACCATCCGGGAGTGGCTCTGAGCTCCCGTGGCTGTGATTTCTCGTGTGACCCGGCTCTGTTAGGATGTCTCTATCTCCACGCTGCAGACGCCAGTGCAGCTGTGCTCTTCTACTCATTACTGTACCACCTCATTTACATCTCCAGTCCGCCCACCCCCTACAAATCCATACTGCAAAGCCTCTCCCCTTGTACGCACAAAGGCATGCTCAGAAAGAACCTTTTACGGGCCTTGTTACCTGTCGCCTATCTGCGCTGCACAGACACTACGCACAGCTGCAGCTCGGAGCTTTGTGGCAGAGAAAACAGAAATCTCTGGGTTCCTCCTGACTGAGAAAAGTGCTGAAGCAATGTGTGCTGTCCTCATCCACCCAATCCTCTGCAGATTATCTGCTGTCTGTATCAGGCGTCTAAAGGAAACTTGTCGCGCTGATAGCAATAAAGCAAAAAAGGAAGCAAAATGAAAAATGGCATTAATGAATGTATAACCCTCACAACAAAACCCACGCGCAGTAATAAAAGGATCAAAGTCGAGGCGGTCTATTGTTCCCAAAAGCCTTTGTGCCTCGCTCGTTGCTCAATAAGCAACAGAGTCAACAAACCTGAGATGTACTCACAGGCTGGAGGCTCAGAACCAAAGGAAGAGCGGCGGCGGCAGAAATGAGTTATTGTTCCCAAATGCAGTTTTTTGTTGTTGTTGAGGGAAGTCAAACCCATACAGGGCTGATGGAGGCAAATGCTGTTGCTAGGCAAAATCAAATCAAGTCAACATCTTCTTCCTCCACTTATTGTTTCTGCTGTCACTCACAGCGGCTTGAAGTGACACATTTGTTGGTGTGTTTTTAAAAATTTGGCTCAGACAATAAAAAGAGGAATGGGATGTTTGACAAAACGAGCGGAACGGCTGTCAAACGCACGACATAATACGCTAACCAGCGATGGTTCTTCTGCGGCACAGACGAACAATAATCACATCATAATGGGACATGTTCTTTGTCCTTTTAGGCTGTATTACACTAAACTGTTTAAACATTTAGCGGGTGGGATTTAACGCAATAAGTACCATCAATTTATCAATTAGAAAAAATAAAATCGTTACCAGAAATAGTAGAACTGGGACACAGGTACAGCGCAAAGGTTGTAGCACATTTTCCAGTTTGTAAGGGCAAAGTGCTGCGGAAGGGTCCCAACACTGCTAATGTTTCCACCTGACAATGTTAGCTACTTTTAGCACTGTTAGCTTCTTGCTATTTTTATGGAATTCTGGATGGGAATTTTATAAAATGACAAATCAAACTGAATGACTTAACTTGGCGTCCTCGACTTTACACGCGTTACACTCGGCTTTTTGCGTGTCTTCTTTCTACATCGTGAAAAACAATCACACCGCCATTTTAGCTACTATGCTCCGATTAAACGTCCCATAGTTCTTTGCCACGCAGTCACATGACCAAATACCACATGACCAATGCCCGAAACAGATGCATACACAGTAAGCTTTTATTTGACTGAAAACAGATTAAAATTGGCTGTTATTGTCGGCCTAGTTACAAATGGGACTGATACAGATATGTTATAAATAAACTGATGATAATTATGCAAAAGCAGATATATTGTGCATTTCTAATCTTTATAAATGTTTTATCACCAAAACGGCAATACACAGAAGTTAAAAAAGTGATGGTGAGATGAAGCCTGATGACTCGACTTGATGCGCTGTGATGATTCATTTGCTCTACTGCGCCATCAAGTGGACAATTTAAAGGGGCATTATGGAATAGGGCTGCAACAAACGATTATTTGGATAATCGATTAATCGGATGGGGTCTCGACATGATTAATCGATTAATCGGATTACATAGGGACATTTTTAAAAACTGCTAGGGAAACGTTATTTTTCTCCTTCCTTCACTTTATTAAACACAACATTATTAGAAAACAGTTGAATAGCAGAAAAACAACATGCCATCACCTATATTGTCTTATAAGGTGTATAGACAGAGACCCTAAGCTACACCTATCTGTGACCTAAAATGCTTGGTCCAAGTTAAACAGCTTAAAGAGCAAGTCATCCCCTACCAGAGTCTAACTCCACTCCTGCTTCATGTTTGAAAAATGCAACACATGCTGTTGCCTGGCAGACCGAGAGGGCGGAGCCGCTAACAAATACACACACACTCAGGCTCACAACAGCATTGTGACATCATAATGTACCAGTTTACATCATAGCATACTTCTTAGCCAATAGCGGTGGCAGATTTAAATTAAAATACAGTGCAGAGTTTTTACCTGACAACGGCACAACACTGCCAGTTTGAGGCAGAATATTTAAATTTTAACTAAGATGCACTGAAGTGCCAAATTATTGACGACACGTGTCTGCAGCACGATTAGACACTCGTTTATTTAGTTTATCAGCAAAAAAAAGTTTATTTGGGGGTGACTTGCTCTTTAAGGGCAATTCTCATCTGTTTTGTTTGATCTCATCTGTAGACATTTATTATAATTGGGGATGTCAAACCACTAATTTTTAAATGTAATTAAACATAGGCTGTGAATTAATCAAAATTAATCACTATTTCCAAAAATGACTGAAACAATACCAAATAAAACAAAAATAAATGAATGCCATCCTCCTTGCGATGATGCCCTGGGCAACTGCCATAAAGTCACATCAAGAAATGCTGCTGATCATTCCAATGATCCCAAATAGACTCACATTAGGCCACATGAAAGCAACTGAACCCAAAAATATATTAACCAGTATATAACTGCACTCTCACACAACACGCCTGCAGCAACAGTTAGGACTCCTCCCTCCCTTTTAAGAGCGTTTTCGCTTCCGAGGACATTGTGGTTGTAAAGCCACATGCTAGTAGTCTAGCCCCAGTGTGACCAACCAGTTTCTGCGGGAATGTGACGGCGGAACCGGTTCGCAGCGGCGCGAGTCCCCCCCCCACCACCCCCCCCCCCCCCCCCCGCCTATCCAATAGCGTCCCGCTTACAATTTTATAGACATTTTTTTATGAGCTTAGGGCATGTCTAGCCTGTGTAATAATCCGGGGCTTGGGTGAATCACTTTTGAAAAGTTTTTAACTTACCCGGACACCGAGCTCTCTCCTTCCTCGCTGATGATTCTGAAATGCTTGCGTTTAAGACGCTGCATCATCACCGTAGTATCCCCGTGCCATGCTAAGTCTGACCTACAAACGTTGCAGGTAACGAATGTCTTCGCCTGATTTAACTGAAAATGCTCCCAAACTTTAGAAGTTTTTACTTTTTTGGGGTCTCGCTGCTTCTTCCATGTTCCTCTTCCAAACACCTGCCAGCTCTCAACCGGTCTGCGCGCAACGGCGGGCGGGAGGGGAGGGGGCTTTTGGAAGAGTTGCGCAACACAACGAATCGATGATGCAATTCGTTGCCAACGTTTTTGTTAATCGATTTTCATCGAATTTATCGATTCGTTGTTGCAGCCCTATTATGGAAGTGAGACAGCCAAAACATGTATAGAAATAATAAATGTCTTCTTCATACATTCTCCTGCAATGCCCTGGTCCTGTAGAATGAGCCCTGGCATTTTTACTGTGATTGCCTGTTTTTCTGTAAAATCACAGAAAAAGAGAGATGCTCGGGTCGAGCAGGCTGCTTCATGCGCGTTCACGCTCAGGCATCGCCCGTAGCATTTGCTATCCGTAGCTTTAGCAGCAGAGAGAGAGGCAGTGCCACTTTGTCGCTGTTCCTAACGCCTAGTGACAAAGCTAGCTACATTTCTGAGGACCCTTAGCTACTTTCTGTAGAACTTTCTTCTAGATATTTCCTGCAAATTAGCAACAAAACAGCCATTTTCACTCCGAACCGTTCTTTGAACGTTGTTTCAGCTGTCATCAAGGACATAAATGTTACAGATACAAAGGACAACACTGGTGCTTTAGCTCACCTAGTAAGACATCTGACTCTCATGCAGAAGACCTGGGTTTGATTCTGGATGTGAACATAGATTATTTAGAGTTTCTTTTTTACATTAATGGTATTTTTTTTACAGTAAGATGCCCAAATTTTTATTTGAGACTCACTGAACGGCATTGAATTCACAGATAAAAAAGATGTGGGTTCAACTTTCATTTTGGAACAATTTTTCAAGCAAGGGAAGGGAATGATCTGAGCATGCAGGAGGACTGACCCATCATAAACCTTTGTCGGCTGTGCTGAAGAGAAAGGTACAGAACCAAATTATTTAATTAATTAGCTGCACGTTCTCCTGTCCTCTGTCCTCCGGGCCACACACACACACACACACACACACACACACACACACACACACACACACACACACACACACACACACACACACACACACACACACACACACACACACACACACACACACACACACACACACACACACACACACACACACACACACAAGGGACTGTCTCAGCTGTTATTTTCGTTAAGGAGTGTGCACGTACAGCATGCGCGCCTCGTGCACGAGCCTACTATTGAAGCTGCCGTTACGCTTTTGGCCTGAGGGGGCAATCGCGAGCATAAAAATTCAAAACTCCGTAAAGTCCCTTTAAGTAAACAGTCAAAAAATCATCTGAAGTGTGAATCTTCTAAACTGAATAAATAAATGATTGATGATTGAGATGGCTGTCTATAAATTCTGAATATTGTCCTAATCTGTCCTTTTAATACAATGTCCGGTATGCGATACAACTCCACAACAGAATGTGACTGGGGAATCAGCAGTGTTTTGCTGCCCCTTTCATTTAGAAATTCTGCACAAACCAGCAAGCCAGTTTCACATGGTAAGGACTGCCCCGCAAGGCCTTGAACATGATCCAGCCATCCAGCCATTTTATTTACCTGCTTATCCACGCAGATTTGCGGGGGTGGGGGGTGGGGGGGTGGGTGGGGGGTGGGAGTGGGGGGGCTGGTGCCTATCTTCGGGCAAACAGGCGGGGTACATCCTGGACAGATTATCAGTCTATCGCAGAGCAACACAGAGACACACAGGACAAACAATCACGCACACACCCACTCACACCTAAAGACTATTTAGAAAGACCAATCAACCTGACCGTCATGTTTCTGGACTGTGGGAGGAAGCCAGAGTACCTGGAGAGAACCCACGTGTGCACAGGGAGAACATGCTAAGTCCTCGCAGAGAGACCCCAGGTGGGAATTTGAACCCAGGACTTGTGCAGCCCTGCCTTGAATGTCACTTACATACTTATCACAACATGCCTCGATACACGCTTAACAAAAGGATCTCCCTGGACTACCCAACACACTAGGGCTGCAACAAACGATTATTTTCATTATCGATTAATCTGTCGATTATTTTTTCGATTAATCGATTAATCGGTTTGTTATTGTTTAGCTATTTAACCTATACAAGTGATGAATGCATTTCAGTTAAGAAAAAAAACCTAAGAGAATTGTGCAGTTGACTGCAATCTATTTTATTGCACATGAACACAGTCAGCAGTGTAAAATGAGCTAAACAGTGCAAAATATCAGTCCAGAATAAGATTTTAGCATTAGCTGGAAGCCTGCTCCTTCCACCATAGATAGTGGCATCATGTCTTTTACCAGCATGTTTAGAATAGAGTTTGTAAGTGGTATGCATTGCTGGGGGGTGAGTGTCTTGTTCCCCATGTAGTTGTCCATCGTTGCTTGTTTTTTTCTGCATAAGAAACACAAGTTGACTGAAATAAGTACACATATAAAATAAAGCAGCACACACACTACAACACTAAATCAATATTATATTATTTGAATTAATTAACAATATACAGTGATCATTCATTTTCAGGGTTACGTTCTACAAAATAGCCCGCAACAGGAGATATTCAGAAAAAAAGTCAAATTTTTTTTACTATTAAAAAGCTCTAAGTAAGAAGCTCATGAGGTTTTTACTTTGAGTCGGGAGTGTTTAAATTAGCTAGAGAAATGTGAAAAATGTTTATTTTGTGTAATACTGTTTAAAAAACATGATAAAAATGTGTTGTGAGGCGTTTTACAGCGTTAGATAGTAAAACAGCCTTTTAATAGTAAAAAAATGACTTTCTGAATTTCTCCTGTATTTGAAAATTGAAAGCGTACAACTATGCCGCGTTATATTCACCTGGACACAGCTCGTCTGTATATTTTTCTCCGCGGAGTTGTCCTTTTATGAATGAGGAACATAGTTATGGGTTTGTGCCGTTTTTCTCTTAACGAGAACATTCTTACAAACAGACGTGCTAAATTTGGCAAGCGCATGATTCACAACACGGAGGAGATTCACGATTGCATCTAGTCAATCAGAAGTAGAACACCGTAGACTGACGCGGCAAAAAAAACATGTTTAACATCCACTATAACGAACTCAGCTAAAACACTAAGTCCCAAATTTGATCTGTGTGTAGTGATGGACCACTATATTTAGCTTGTTTATTTTCTATTACTTACCGGGCTGGCTCTTCCTCTGCTGCATCAGCCCCCACATGTTTTCGTCTCAAATATTCACTTAGGGACGTCGTGCTTCCGTGCCATGCTAGATGGTTTTTGCATATTTTGCAGGTCACCCGTCTTTTCATGACATCTAGAGTGAAGTGCTCCCATACTCGTGAGGTTTTTGTCCGGGGTTTCTCTTCAGTTTTGTCGCTTCTATTTTTCTTCCGTATTTCTTCTTGTTCCGCCATCTCTCACAGCAAGATGCGCATCAGTAACGTGTTACGTCACAAAAACCGAGGGCACTTATTGGCTCGTTTCTTCTTCTACGGCTCCACTGGTAGATCAGTAGCTCATTACTGCCACACACTGGCGGCAAATTTAACAGCTTGTAACCAATGTCAGATTGTGGTAAAAATAGACTTCATGCGGTAAAATGTGATTATTAAACAACTAATCGATGACTAAAAAAGTTGTTCACTACTTTAATAATCGATTATAATCGATTAAATCGATTAGTTGTTTCAGCTCTACAACACACACTATGAAGCATCAACTAAAGGACACATCACTAGTAAAATACATGATGAAATAATACACACATCTTAGCATCCAACTTAGCAATTAGCCTAGCGCAGCACGTGTACACCACTTACATTTTACCAACTAACTTTAACACACGTCCAAACATTCCCATGTTTCAAAGATGGATGTTCTCCAAGGCACAAACATATGAAGCACTTTCATGAGCCGTTTACTCTCGTTTCTGCTAAATGTAAACAGAGCAGAAAGAAAACATCAAGGATAGGTCTGATGTGAGAGCACTCACTGCGTCGCATTGATGCAGAGACAATATGACAAAGATTGTTTGTAACAGTGATGCCTCACATAGATACGTTCTCGAAACCCAAAACAGTTTAACCATTTTAACAGACTTTACTTCACTGAACAAAAATATTAATGCAACACTTTTGTTTTTGCTCCCAGTTTTCATGAGCTGAATTCAAACATCTGAAACTTTTTCTATGGAAACAAAACACCCCTGACTCTCAAAAATTGTTCTGAACTCTGTCTACATGTGTGATAGTGAGCACTTTTCCTTTACCAAGATAACCCATCCCACCTCACAGGTGTAGTATATCAAGGGGCTGATTAGACAGAATGAATAATGTACACGTGTGCCTTAGACTGCCCACAATAAAAGGACACCCTGACATGTGCAGTTTGATCAAACAGCTCAATGCCACAGATGTCACAACCTTTGAGGAAACGTTCAATTGGCATGCTGACTGCAGGAATGTCTACCAGAGCTTTTGCCCGTGTTTTCTACCATAAGTCGTCTCCAAAGACATTTCAGAGAATTTGGCAGTACATCCAACCGTCCTCACAACCGCAGACCACGTGTGACCACACCAGCCCAGGACGTTCACATCCAGCATGTTCACCTCCAGGATCACCAGAGACCAGCCACTCGGACAGCTGCAGCAACAATCGGTTTGCATAACCAGAGAATTTCTGCACAAACTGTCAGAACCCGTCTCAGGGAAGCTCATCTGCATGCTCGTCGTCCTCATCAGGGTCTGGACCTGACTGCAGTCTATCGTCGTAACCAACTTGAGTGGGCAAACACTCACATTCAATGGTGTTTGGCATGTTGGAGAGGTGTTCTCTTCACAGATGAGTCCCGGCTCTCACTATTTAGGGTAGATGGCAGACTGCATGTGTGGCGTCGTGTGGGTGAGTGGTTTGCTGATGTCAACATTGTGGAACGAGTGGCCCATGGTGGCGGTGGGTTACTGGTATGGACAACAAACACAGAGGTACCATGATGAGATCCTGAGGCCTGTTGTTGTGCCATTCATCCATGACCATCACCTCATGTTGCAGCATGAACGCGCGGCCCCATATTGCAAGGATCTGTACACAATTCCTGGAAGCTGAAAACATCCCAGTTCTTGCATGGCCAGCATACTCACCAGACATGTAACCCATTGAGCGTGTTTGAGACGCTCTGGATCGGCGCATACGACAGTGTGATCCACTTCCTGTCAATATTCAGCAACTTCACACAGCTACTGAAGAGGAGCGGACCAACGTTCCACAGGCCACAATCAACAACCTGATCAACTCCGTGTGACGGAGATGTGTTGCCCTGCATGTGGCCACCCAGATACGGACTGGTTTTCTGCCCCCATTGTTTGAGTTCAGCTCATGAATAAAGGGAACAAAAACAAAAATGTTGCATTTATATTTTTGTTCTGTGTATTTATAAATTTTATTAATCTAACTCATTCCCATCATGAACTCAATAATTACTTTGGTCTAAAGACATCACAGAGTGTTAGTCAGAATTATCTCAAGGAGAATGTGATTCAGCTGAAGTGAATTAAACATGACACTATTAACTGAAATAGTCACAGTTTAGTTTACACAGAAAATGTTTAAAGCTTAGGTATGCACGATAGATGTGTGATGTTAGGAACCTAAATGGTTTAGTTCAGAAATAAACAGTTGGACAATATCAACATATCGGATGTCAGTAAAAATGCCACTATCGAGCATTCCTAGTTTAAAGAATAACAAGGCTGATCACAAACTCACATCACACAGATACAATAGTTATAATAATTCACAATAATAGTACTGTCAAATTAAAACGTGTTTTGGTGGTTTTGTAGCAATCTACAACTGATTATCCCAATCAACCAAATCCAAGGTGGCTGCAACAGCCTTTAGTCTTCAGCACCTTAACTTAGAAATAATTTTTAAAATGTAGTTTTTAAATGTTGATAGCATTGCTATGCTTCTTTTGCCTTGTTCTAAAGGATCTGATGTTTCTCAGGTGATGACGGCAGTGGAGCAGGACTACCGGCTGCCCCCACCCATGGACTGTCCCATGGTGCTGCACCAGTTGATGTTAGAGTGCTGGATGAAGGAGAGAAATCTAAGGCCCAAGTTCTCCCGGATCGTTAGCACCTTGGACAAGTTGCTCCGCAATGCCGCCAGTCTCAAGGTTGTGACCAGCACCTACTCAGGGTGAGTTCACGTGCCAAGAACCAACATGTGTCTGAAATGTTCCTATATGAATATAAGTATAAGTCTGATCATTTCCCCTGAGAGCACGGTTCCCCTGATTAGTCTAAAACTTGGTCCTTTACCTTCTGCCGTCAAGACAAACTTGAGGGATTTTGATGTTGTTTTTCACCAATCAATGTCTCTTGAAGGTTGGTCCAAAACAGTTTTTATCACTTAAGAAATATCTCCAAACTGAGAAGGTTGGTGTCAAAACATGAACTTGAAATGGTTCTCCATGCCTTTATCTCCTCCCGACTAGATTACTGTAACACACTCTTCACATGTTTTAACAAAAAGCCCTTGACCGCCTTCAGTTGGTCCAGAACTCTGCAGCGAGGCTCCTAACCTGAGCAAACACAAGAGCTCACATCACTCCTATTCTGTTGTCTCTGCACTGGTTCCCCTTAACTTTAGAGTTCATTTTAGAGTCCTGATTAGAACTTTCAATGCTCTACATGGTCCATCTCCTCCCTATATTACTGACCTGTTAAAGCCTTATGCTCCAACCCGAGTCCTCAGGTCCACACACCAGAACCTTCTAGAAGTTCCAAAGACCAGACACAAAAGTCGAGGCGATCGCTCCTTCCAGACTGCTGCACCCCGACTCTGGAATGATCTTTTATCCTTACGCAGCGTTGACAGTCTGGACACTTTTAAACAACAGCTAAAGGACCCTTTTTTTTAAGCTGCTTTCACCTAAAGCTTTTATTTTCTTATTTTTAACTCAAATTTGTCATCATAATTCATCTGTTTATGAAATTTAATAATTTTATGACTATTTTTTTCTAAAGTTAATTTTTTTCTGTTTTGAGAGCATTATGATTTTATGACTTTGTGGTTTATTTTGTTTTGATCTATGTGAAGCACTTTGTGATTCTGTGTCTGCGATAAGTGCCATATAAATAAAATGTACTTACTGTTACTTTACACCAGAAGATGGTGGAGATGTGTAACTTCAGTCTGAGCAACACTTTTTGGGAGTTTATATTGACATTTTTGGAATTTGTAGAGTTTAAAAACTGGCTTCTGTCTTGTTGTCGTTTAACCACAGGCAGTTAGAGGAGAGCCAGGTTTGGACCTTCTGGCATTAGTCAGGGCAGTAGTTGAGTGCTGTTGATTGAGTTGCAGGTAAATTTGGCAATTGTCTGCACAGAAATGGTAGATGAACACATGATTGGCTAAAATCTTTCTGAGCGGGAGACTAAGATTGAAAAAAGGAGAGGACCTTTGAAAAGGAGACATTGTGAGAGGAGCAGTGCTCAATATGCATGTTGTACTGTTTTCCCCACACCTGATTTCAGTCAACATGTGATTAACAGGCTTCTGCAGAGCCTGATAAGCTGCTGAACAGGTCAACAGCGTGTTAGAGTAGGGAAACAGCTAAAACATGCTGGATACCAGCCCTCAGGGAAGGGAGTTGGCGGGGATCACTAGTGTAGCGGATCCATCAATCGGATTATTGTGCTTCTTAAATCCTTGATAACATTTCTTCTACAGTTTTCAAGATTAAAGGATGCTGGGAAATTTCCATCTGTGCTTTCTTAAATGTGCCTTCTTTGTGTTTTTATATAGAATAAAACAGAAATTGCCATTTGGATTTAAAGTTGTTGCTCTGGGTTAAGTTTCGTGTATCACCGTGACCACGTCTGCATTTAGGCAGTAACTCTTCCAGGGTTTCTCCAGTTTAGATGTGCAAAAACTGACAAGTTCTGATAAATTTTAGTTCTCAACAGAGAGCAAAGTAGACAGTAAATGCAGACGATCAACAGAAACACTGCTGTTCATGTAGGGCTCTAAACACTCAGGATACATTCCAAACAGGGCAAAAACTGTGAAAACAAAGAAAATGGAGATGAATTTTTCTCCTCTGCCATCTTGTGTAAAATTGTCCTCGGTGTTGTATACGATGGCTGCAGAGACAGACAGCTCTGAGCCTCTGGGCTTCTAGAATAAGATGTCACAAGAAAAAATATGTCTGGCCTAAAGAGAAGCTCGGTGAGGTTCGTGCTTGTTGGTTTTCTGGGTTGTCTGCTTTTGGCTGAAATGGGTGGAAGCTAGTTTGGGCTGTTGCTGCCTCTCTGGCACCACCACCCTCGTCATCGGATGAGTTTGATCGCTTTCTGCTAACAGATAGCACGTAGATTCACTTTCGGGGTAAATAAATCAATCCATAGTTTCTCAACACAAGATCTTAGTTTTATACGCTGACATGAAAGGCAGCAGGTTTTCATTTAAGCACATTTAGACAGAAATATTGTGAAAACAAATTATAGGAATCAAACCTCAATATTTTAAATTATTATTTTGTATAGTTAAATTTAGTTACAATCAAACCCAATTATACAAACTCCATGTTAAAATTTTGAATACACACCTACAGACAAAATTTCAAATAAGTGTCTAAAAACATGAATTAACTATTTTAATGTATTTATAAGTATTTATGTGAGGGATTTCCAATATTATTGGTCTACAGATAAGATCAGCCAATATTAGTCTTAAAATGTAACATTGGAAAATATCAGTGTTGGTTTTTATTCCTTAGTGACCCAACTTTTACATACCATGCACATATTACACATGAAACTCTTCGGCATCATCGCGTGTCTCTCAAAATACCAAATTATGACTAATCTGTGGTTTATTTGTTATATTGTAGTTTTCTTTGGCACAACTTGAGAATAATTAGGAGTTTGCCCTATTCTTTTTTTAATTTAACACAGTGAAGTAATTAGATGCTTCTTTACCTTCGGCAGACATGTTTCCGCCTGAACTTCCGCCTTCGTCAGAGCCGCCAGCTGTTCGTGACGTCACTTCTGTGTATGTGCGGCCAGCAGAGGACGATGTCGCCCTCTGCTGGCCGCATCCTTCACTCTGATAACAGTCCCATGTGTGATCCAACGAGTAAACACCGTCGTCTCTGTTCATGGTGTTGTGTCTGCGTCTCCTTATCTCTGTGGGCAACACAGTTGTCCTCTGCTGCCCACACATGAACAGAAGTGACGCCACGTACAGCTGGCGGCTCTGACGAAGGCGGAAGTTCTGGCTGAAACATGTCAGCCGAAGGTAAAGAAACATCTAATTACTTCACTGTGTTAAATAAGAAAACAGAAGATAATTATGAATCAACACAGAAAAAATATACAGAAGAGGAATTTGCTGTGTATAGGAAGCCTAAGACTCCTCCGTTTCTGGTCGGCCCACGGGTCCCCAGAAGAACGAAAAAATGAACGCAAGTCAACGGGGCTAAAAACGCTATTTTCTAATCCGCCTTGTCTTAGACCTTAGATCACATATTTTTTGTACTGCAATTTAAATTAAAAGTAATGATGGGTGTTTCGACCACGCCAGTCAAGTACTTTGAGATTTATCAGCTTGTAAAAGTTCGTAATTAGCTTGACTACATACCAGAAATCGACTCGTTGTATAGATGACGTCACCACATAATCGCCTCCCCCCTAGCGTAGCTGCTACTTACCAAATGACCAGATTTATGGCGGTTCTTTCCTCCTGTGGGAAGTTTGCTGAACTTACAGCCCTTTTCCCTCAGCTTTCTCCGTGTCTGGTTCGATGACGTCACTTTCGTGAAGCGCATTTGTAGTCTTGGACTTATTTTCACGACAAACCTAAAATAGCGTTGCCCCCACCCCCCCCGTTCGAAAATAAGCGCGTTCTTGGTATCAAAATGTGTCTTTAAAATTCACGGACATCAGGTGTGAAATCCGTGGCACAAAACAAGCGGAATTATAAAATAGCGTTTTTAGCCTTGTTAACTAGCATTAAGTTTGTTGTTCTTCGGGGGCCCCATGGTCCGTAAGTGACTTAGGCTCCCTATAGAGTATCAGCTGTCCTTAGAGCATGTAAGTGTGTGCTGCTAGCAGCTAGCAAACAACTAAAACAAGCACAAGCTCCTATTACACGTTTTATCACCGTAACTACAATTTACAGAAACAGAAAAAATACATTACGGACACAAACGTGTCTTAGTGGAGCGCAATTAGCCTCGCTTAGAATGTGTACACTCACGCTCCTTACACTTAATCAACTAAGTAACTTTAACACGCACCCACACATTCCCTAAACACATCGATACTTAGAAATACAAATGTTTTCCGAGGTACGGACATATAAAGTGAAATCACCGTGTTCATGATCCGTTTATTGTCCTGTTTCCACCTAAATGTAAGACGTAAACACACCGGAAATTGGAAATGACGTCATAAATCTGAAACTGAGTTACGAGCGCTTATTCTGTTGCCTGCATAAACAATATAACATAGTTTGGTTGTAATAGTGATGATAGGACCCCACATATATATATATATATATATATATATATATATATATATATATATATATATATATATATATATATATATATATATATACACACACACACACACACACACATATATATATAAGTATACACACACACACACACACACATATATACATATACATATATACATAAATATATATATATATATATATATGTATATATATATATATATATATATATATATATTTATGTATATATGTATATGTATATATGTGTGTGTGTGTGTGTGTGTGTGTGTATACTTATATATATATATGTGTGTGTGTGTGTGTGTGTATATATATATATATATATATATATATATATATATATATATATATATATATATATACATATATACATAAATATATATATATATATGTATATATATATATATATTTCTGTATATATATATATATATATATGTATATAAACCCATCTGTTTTATTATTACAATCATGAGTTAAAGGTAAAAATCAGACTCAGGACTACGGTAAAGGAAGTCGTCATCTCCCTTTTGTTTTTCCACTTCTTCCAAAACGTTTCAATTCAAAACTATTCTATTAAATTTCATTCTTCTCTGTTCTAATTTGCTCCTTAGCTAAATATTTAGTCTACATTTGTTAGCTTAATTGTTATATATTTAGATTTGATTCTACATATTGTTTCATTTTTATTTGGGTCTATGGTCAAATGCTTTAAAGAGCAAGTCACCCCAAATAAACTTTTTTTTGCTGATAACCTAAATAAATTAGTGTCTAATTGTGCTGCAGACACGTGTTGTCAATAATTTGGTACTTCAGTGCATCTTAGTTAAAATTTAAATATTCTGCCTAAAACTGGCAGTGTTGTGCCGTTGTCAGGTAAAAACTCTGCACTGTATTTTAATTTAAATCTGCCACCGCTATTGGCTAAGAGGTATGCTATGATGTAAACTGGTACATTATGATGTCACAATGCTGTGGTGAGCCTGTGTGTGTGTGTGTGTGTTTGTTAGCGGCTCCGCCCTCTCGGTCTGCCAGGCAACAGCATGTGTTGCATTTTTCAAACATGAAGTGGGAGTGGAGTTAGACTCTGGTAGGGGGTGACTTGCTCTTTAACTTTAAATTAAGTAAATATGGTGAAAACCTCAGTTCTGCGTTTTTCCTACGAGGAGCTAAATGTTAATGTTTGAAATAATTACTTTACAGTTTGGTTCTCCAAAGGTTTTAAAACCAGCTCAGATTTAGTCTCCAAACTCTTCATCTGAGATGAAATGTGCCGGAGTGTCGTTGAGTCAGCAGCACGACTGGGACCAGTTTACACGGATCCTCCTGCTGATATTTAATGAAACCAAACCTCATCGCTCTGACAGACTGGTGAGGCAGCGTGGATCCGGTATTCAGGTGGGGTGCTCGCGCTAACACAGAGGCCCTCGGGGCAATTCCTATGCCCGGATTTGGGCTCACTCAGTCTAATTGTGTGGAAATGTAATGGCTGACCTCGCTTTAATTCCCACTACACTCGGCTGGATGCTGGCTCGTTGGTGATAGGGCCGACATCAGCCAGAGCTGCTGATGTGGAAAAGCAGGAGGTGATGAAGTGTGAGTAATAAGGGAGATTGAGGAGAAGCTAAAAGAGAGGAATGTGTTTAATTAGGTTACTAATGAGCTTTTTAATGCATCAGGGAGGACGCGCCCAGTGCTGTGATAGGTGAGTGGAGAAGAAATGTGTGTGTGTGTGTTTATGTGTGTATCTGCTTGTTTTGTTGGTGTTGTGTGCCGATGACATGCCAATGATTAATTCATGGCCTGATCTGTATGCAGCAGCAGCAAGTGATAGATGGGGATGGAGCAGGAGGAAGAGGGAAGGGATGGTGTTGTCAGAGCATGATTTAGAGAGCGACCGCTGTGTTTGTGCACGTCCGAGGCTGCGAACGCCGGCTGCCATTGGCTGCTGAGTGATGCTGGGGCAGATAAGGGCTGGAGAGAGGGGATATGAGATGCAGCACTATCTGTGGAGTATCTTCAGCCACAGGGACGTTAAACACAAGGACGCTAGCCCAGGACCAAGTGCTCTTTTCTCATTCTGAAGATGCCTGAAAAATACGTTGAACTTTTATTAAAACTGGGAACTGTGATGAACAGATCTGGCCCAGCGTTTGAGTTGTTTGTAGCAGATGAAGCGCCACATCAGCACTTCTGAAGCGTCGTCCCATGACGTTCCATTTCCTATCATCTCTAATCCCAACATCTAGGTCTGGACTCTGTAGAAATGAGCTCCACCGGCGCTGAGATGGATCAGACCTTTATTCGCTTTCATCAGAGAGCACTTAGCGGGTAGCGGGTGACTTGTAGCTTTTGTTTAAAGTGGCCGTGAACTCGCCGCTGACCTGTGTGCTGTTGTGTTGGCAGGGACCTGCTGCGGCTGGGAGGAACTCTGCCAGGACACAACAGGAAGAGCCCGGACAACAGCCAGGAAATCATCCGGCAACAGATGAGCCAGACTCTCCCCATCAGAGTGTGAACTGCTGCAAGTCCAAGGATGCAGAATGAAAAAAAAAACCTACCTAAAAACTCTGGAGCAGGGGGTCTGATGTAAATGTAAAAAAAAGGAAAACAAAAGATGAAGACTCCAGGAAGGAGGAGCGATGAGGAGATTTCTTTCCCACTGGTGATTAAATGTCTGTATAGAGAGAACTCGCCATTGCAGTGTTTGTTCATCACTTGACACTTGTGGATTTGTGACTGTTGACATGAAGCCAAACTTCTTCTTGCTCCCTCTCAGGTTGTGTTTGCATGCCTGCATGTGTTTTCTGATGGTTGGGAAGCCATCTTTCCTTCTTTTCGCCCCCGCTCTAAGAGGGCGGAGATGAGTTGGCGTCTGGATGACGCGGCAGTGCCAAGATGAAGCAAATCTTTGCTTAAATCGCTTCAACACAGCCTGACCTCTATATATCTTCAACCCAGTTGTTTTCTGTGGGAGGATGGGGGTTGTTTCATTTTTTTATCCCAACCAAATAGATTCTTTAAATCTGCTATTTTGGGGCTGAGAAACAATAAAACTGTCATCTGCTTCCTCCTAAATATTGTCTTCCACTTGTACTGGGAGGTCTGTGTGTAACGAACCTGTACAAAGCATCCGAGTCTTCACGCGGCTCCCCGGGGTGGGGGGGGGTGGGGGGGGTGGGGGGGGGGGGGTGCAGCTGACACTGTGCGGGACGCTCTATGTGCATGCCAAAGTGGAGGAACTGTACTAACAAGTCCCACCTAGCGTTTGCTTTGATGGCATCTTGCTGTTTGGGCTTTAATGTCCATGTTTTTCTTAATCTTTGATTTGTTTCACGTGATGAGTTACTTGCTATTGCAAACATGCGTTTCCTTTCCTTCTGCTGTTTTTACGTTTTTTAAATGGGCTTGAAACCAGTTTCTCACTGGGCTGGGACCAGGGTTTGACACTAACGTGGTGTCTTGATGCTTTTGTGACACCGTTTGTGCCACTGCTAGTCATGTGACTCAGATTCAAGCAGATAACGGCTCTCGAGTAAATTCTGTTGTCAGAAATCACAGATTATTCAGTCAATTCAATTCAATTTATTAATCCCAGAGGGAAACTGATTGCTGTAGTAGCTCAGAATAATAATAATAATCAAGTCATCAAAGAGGTGTTGTATATTACAATGGCTGTTGGCAGGAAGGATCTCCAGTAGCGGTCAGTGTTGCAGCCAAACTGAAGAAGCCTCTGACTGAAGACACTCTTCCGTTGTCGGACAGTCTTGTGAAGAGAATGTTCAGGGTTGTCCATCATTTTCTTGATTCTCTGGAGAATCCTTCTTTGCATTATCTCCTCCAGCGGTTCCGAAACTGCCGAAACTCTGGCTGAGTCCTTGAAAGGGCTTGGAGTTCCTCCATCTTGTTGGCCAGTGATCTCACATTGCCCGTTATGATCGATGGAAGAGATGGTTTGAATTTCCTCTTTCTCTGTCTCCGTTTTGCTCCCGCTCTGCACCCACGCTTCTTGCGTTTTAGCTCATTTGGGATTTGTGGCTTCAGTTGAGGTATTATTTCAGCCTTTCCAATGTCAATCAGCTGCTCCCGATTGTAAACCAGCTTGTTGCCATGGTTACGCGTCATAACAAATGCTCATAAAGTGAAAAAAGCTAAAAAAAATAGCAGTAAAAATCCTCCAAGCTTCACAGCACCAGAAACAGAAAAGTAAAGTGTCCAAAAAAATTCAGTTTTTCTTGAGAAACTAGAAGAAAAAATGCCCAAGAAAAGGCAAAACTTACATGTAGTCAACAGAGCTACTCCAACAAGCAGCCACCCAGAGCAGCGCAGTTCCGGGACTGTTTTCAGTCTGGTTGCAAACTCGTCACCAAGGTGTCTCCCATCACTCACACTGTCCCAACCAGGAACTAAAGTA